TATATTATGGTAAACTGAATGTAAAAATCATATTTTTGAAAATTGAGATTCCCGGACAAATAAAAATTTCTCCTGTACCAAACGGTTTAATGATATCAATGCATTTATTTTTATGTAATATTTATTAAGTATTAAGAGAATATTTTAAGAAGATGTGATATTACTCAATTAAGGAAAATATTCTTATGTATTCTCATATTATACTCAGTTCACTAAAATTATGATAGTGAATAACATAATTATATATATATTGTTAGATTGAATTTAATATTTTAAATAATTAAATCCAAATTAAATTTCAAGCATTTGTTGTGTTGCAATTACGGTATATTAGAGTTTATGATGGAAAAGTACCACTTTTGCGAAAGCACTTTCAGTATGAAGAGGATACTGACTATTGGATACCATAGAGATTTACATTATGTATTCTCAAAAATACATAACGTAAAGTATTAAAATTACTTTTTTTTCTCATTCTTTAAAAAAATATCAACTAATATGATGCACTCCCATTGATACATTGAGCGAGTACTGAATTTTTTTTCCCACTTTTGCATGCTAACAAGTTATTTGTTTTCCGTGATTACTTTTTGGTGCTTTATTTCCGGTCAAAAGTGTTGGCTCGTAAGTCCTAACTTACAACTACAGTAACCTATTTTTTCCTTTTATATTAATAGATTTTATAAGAGTTATGTTGTAGAAAAAATGATTGTGTTATGTTATAGAGATTCGTTTTAAGTGCCGATCACAAAATGTTATGTGTGTAGGAAATTTTTTGTGGTCATATTAAATGATAGATGATAAACCCTATATTAATACATATAAACACATTAAAACTACATGAGATCATAAAAAAAAAGTTCTACCAAATACCCAGAATTATAATAATTCACTCCCAACTGCCTTCAGGCTTAGCCAGTAAGTTTCATTTTATGCAGCGATGGCTGTTTCAAAGTCAATATGTAGATTAATGTACCTCTTATCAAACACATCATACACGCAGGCTTTCATTTGTTTAATTTATTTATATGAATTTGAGAAACACTGACTGAAAGAGAAAGGCATCCACTACACAAGAATAAATTAGGATGCCTGAAACTGAAAAGGCAATTGTAGGGCCCTCAACTCTCCGTCCCTCCAAAGTCCAAAGTAAAGAAACTGATATATTTTCTGAAGGGGTTAATATGATTCTACATTTATGCTTTAAATTATTAATTTTAATCTAGCAGTATTAAAAGTAAACCATATATTAACCAACAAAATCCGACACAGTTGGTAGATCGTTGATTTCTTTAAATATGCTTATAGGGATTCGATTCTTGGCCATATGTATAAAAAATGCTTTGTTGGAAGAGGCTCCATTCATAATCGCGTGATCTCTCTACTTCGAGGAAATTAATCTTTAACTTTCGGCCGAAGGATATCTTTGAAACAATTTTCAAAAAAAAAAAGTTGACCATATATTCCAATTCATTTCTTCAAAATAATATCGTATTATAACCAAAGCATATTGAAAGCAGGGAATGCTTTTAAGATTCAAACATGAGAGCCAAGAGGACGAGATTAACAAGCTAAGAAGTCAATATAATTTTTCAAGTATAGAGAAGAACTTAATGCTCCTGGTTTGGATATGATTTCTTATCAATAAGGAACGAATTATATGCAGCTCTATTTTAGAATATAGTTTCTTGTTTATAGTCTGTTAACCAATTTAATTACTTTTAAAAATGTAAATATTTAATTTAATTATATTTCATTAGAAGGTTCTAAGAGCCTGGCAGCACTCGATAAGGCAATTATCTGGTATTCTTTTTTACATACCTAAAAGTCTAATATGTTTTTCTATTTGGTCCTAATGATGGTGGTACAAGCCTCCTTATAATAATCTTATCAACCTTTCTTTCTTTCTTTCTTTTTTTCATTTCATTTTCAATTAAATTAATTTAACGCCTGGGCCCTTGACACGGATACAGCCTAACTAACTTGATTTAAGAAAAATAATATATGACCAAACAAATATTCTATAAATAATAGTTTTCTTTATTAGTGACATCACAGACACATAATTACATGCTGATTAAAATGTCATCTCCTTCGGGGATAAGACACAGGTAATAACACCCAAAAAATAAATAAAATGAAGTAATAATGGGTCACACCATATACAAATAAGAGCATTTTAAATCCATCCGATGCAATCACTCCATTTGGCATGCTTTATCCAATACGGTCATCTATGAAATCAACTTTCAGTTTTAACAGAGCCCTCGTTTTAATCGCAGAAATTGAAGTATTTTCCTTATATGTGTATGTTACTATTCTCTCGAATCCTCGACCCCTGGCCCTTTGTTTCTCTAAGGCCTGTTTGGTGTGACGTATAAGGCATGATAGTATAAGCTTATACTATACGTTATGACATTTTCAGTTGTTTGGTGTGACCACCGTAGAGTATAAGCTTATACAGCATAATCCCTTAATACATCAAAACGATGTATAACTTAATCCGACCTAAGGGTGAGGGATAAGACCTGATAAGAGATTGATGTATTAGCATCGTTGACCAATGTAATTCTCAAAAATTAATATATTATTTTAATATTAATCTATTAAAATAAAATTTATTTTTCAATATATTAATTTTTAAAATATTGAATATTTTTATTTTTATAAAAATTAATTTATATATTTGGACACACTGATCAATAAATTTTTATAAAAATTAATATCATATGACATTTTTTGAAGAATTATATAAATTCTTTATTAAAGGATATTTTTATTAAAAATATTTGTTTTTATCATATATAGTATTATATAGTGCATTACCAAATACTAGATGATATTATCTTATACAATATATTATTTTATACAATACCGTGCCAAACGTTTGATAGTATTAAAATTCAATCAGGTCTTATACAATCAGGCCTTATATTATTAGGTCTTATACTATCAGGCCTTATCCTATACTATGCACCAAACATGCCCTAAAGCCGCAAAAAGAGCTTAAGTTGTTTCTTGGAAGCCACTCCATATATATATATATATATATATATATATATATGAAAAAAATATTTCTGCAACCACTTTAGATAAGGTTTTCTACAGCTACTTTTTTTTCGTTGAATACGACCGGTCGTACATTAAAATTGTATTTCTCTCTCCGCCACGTCAGCTGACAATGTCTGAGGAAAGAGAAAAAAAATAGTTTTATTGTTATAACTAAGTACGACTGGTAGTACTTAATGAAAAAGGTAGTTGTAGACAACTTTATCTAAAGTGGCTGTAGAAATATTTTTCCCTATATATATATATATTTTTTTTTTTTTCGACAACTGGAGATAAGTTTATTTCCGACCACTCTAAAATTACGTCATTTTATTTATTTATTTTCTTATATTAATTGATTCACCTTTGAATGATTATGATTTCTTTTTTCTCTCTTCCTTTATCACCGTTGATTAATCTTTGTACGGTTATAATGTAGTAGCCGGAGATAACTTTATCTCTGGCAGCTTGAGAAATGATAAACCCTATATATAGAGAGAGGTAGGATCCTTCCTTTGAAATTTCACATGCTTGCAAAAGATCTAACGACTATCAAATGAGATGTCAAATTTAAAATTTGACACTGATGTCAAAGAATCCTACCATATATATATATATATATATATATATATATATATATATATATAGGGGTGTTCATCAACCGATCCAAACCGCGATAACCGAACCGAAAAACCGATAACCGAATAAACCGATAACCGAAAAATCAAGAACCGAATAAAAACCGCAAATTTTAATTGGATTGGATCGGTTTTCGGATGGGTTGATGAAAACCGATCCAATCCAAACCGATCCAATATATTAATTCCCCTATACCTTCTTGGGTCTTTCCTCCCATCATAGCCCAAATTTTTTTAAACCCAAGACCTATTAACCCATCAACTAAACCCAAGAAAAAACCTAGTCATATCTCATCAACAAAAATTTATTTGTGTAAAATTTCATATCTCATTGCTAAAAAAAAAACTATATTATCATTTACTTTTCTGTTTAATTTTTTTTTTACAAAGCCTATTATACAAAAAATGTTATTTGCACAATAACCATAAAACAAATTTTAAGATTTTCAAAAAACCGAAAACCGATCCAATCCAAACCGAAAAAAATTGGATTGGATTGGATCGGATTTGAAAAAAAATCTAAACCGAATGGATGATGACATGATCAAACCGAAGAGATTGGATCGGATGATTTTTGCTTCCAAAACCGATCCAATCCAGACCGCGAATGTAATGTCCCACATCGGTTGGAGAGGGGAACGAAGCATGCCTTATAAGGGTGTGGATACCTCTTCTAGTGTGAAGCCTTTTGTGGGGTGTCCCAAGAAACAAAACCGTGAGCTCGACGGTGCTTGTGCGCGGGGCAAAGCGGACAATATCATGCTACAGGGTTTGGGGCTGTTACATTTGGTATCAGAGCCTGACCCTGGACCGGTGTGTACAGCGGGGACGCTGTATTCCCAGTGGGGGAGGATGTAATGTCCCACATCGGTTGGAGCGGGGAACGAAGCATGTCTTATAAAGGTGTGGATACCTCTTCTAGTGTGAGGCCTTTTGTGGGGTGTCCCAAGAAACAAAACCGTGAGTTCAACGGTGCTTGTGCGCGGGGCAAAGCGGACAATATCATGCTACAGGGTTTGGGGCTGTTACAGCGAACACCCCTATATATATATATATATACTTGCGGTGCTCATGTGTGTATATATATGCATATAACATCTTGTACAGAGTAGGCAAGTGATTCGTATTCAAGCCATCACTTTATGATTTCCCTTTCATAATATCTCAGATATCTTTCAGCTTCTGTCCTTTATTCTTTGGTCGATTTTCATCATTTTCCTCCATCTAAACAACATATAAGTAGTTCTTTCTGTGATACTTCACATACATCCTCTTCTCTGACAAATCTTCAAGCAGAGCCAAATTCAAAAAGCCATGGCAGCGAAGGCCAAGAACAACAAGGTGGGGAATGAATTGGGTTGTGGTCTCGTGGGGAGAATCCTCCAACTCAAAAGCTACAGGGTGAGAAAATCATCTGTTCATTCACTACCCATGAAGGCTAGCAACAATGCACAGAGCAATCATGGCAAAAATGAACCCAAGAAGTCTCAAAATGAAGAATCAAAGGTTCCACGAAGAAGCTCCACTGACACTGTGTTCACCGAGCCACAAAAACTGAGTGAAGACAAGAAACCTGCTAGAAAGAGTACCTCTATTCATCAAGCACCTTCTGCACACCGAAACAATCAAAATTGGAGGCATTCAGATGCTGCACGAAGCTCAACATCATCATCATCCACTGGTAGTTCATCCCACACAAAGGTTCAACAAAACAAGGACACCAATGATGAGAGCAAGTTACATAGAGAGCCCACGGGTAATTCTCTCGAACTTGCCAGGATAAGTACTAGTCAACAGCGAGATAATGAAAGCCACAAATCTCAGGCCAAAGATTTTGGTGCCTTGAAACTCACTGGGAATTTGCTTGTAAGTAACACACCGAGAAGAAAGAGTGTGGAATTCATAGCTAAGAATGCAGAGTTGAGCTCTATGACCAGTTCATACAGTAATGCAAGCAAAGGCGTGATGGGGAATATCATGAGGAAGAACAGCAATGAGCTTGCACAGTTTCTAAGTCCAAAGCACAACAGAGTGAGCCCTGAAGTGTTGAAGTCCATGGGAAATGAAGCATACAAGCAGGGAAAATTTGAAGAGGCTTTGGCTTTGTATGACCGAGCAATTGCTCTTGATTCAAAAACGGCAACGTATCATTGCAACAAGAGTGCAGCTTTAATTGGCTTAGGAAGGTTTCAGGAAGCAATTTTTGAGTGCCAGGAATCTATCCGGCTGGAGCCTTCATATAATAGAGCCTACAACCGTTTGGCAACAATATATTTCAGGTACTAAATACTAAGTAATAATATTGAAATATATATGCTTCATTCAATGTATTAGGGACTAGTAGATACACCATGGTAAATATACTATGGATTATGATATGAAGTTTCTTGTGCTGTTACTTTTTTTCTTATAGAATTGGAAATTTTAATGCAGATTGGGAGAAGCAGAAAAAGCACTGGATTGCAATCAGTCAACCTCAGATGCTGATTCTGTACTTGTTTTTCAAGCTCATGCTCTTCAAAATCACCTGAACAAATGCATTGAAGCCCGGAAAGTCAATGAATGGAGTGTTATACTGAAGGAAACACAGTCTGCAATATCCTTGGGTGCTGATTCAGCCCCACAGGTTAGTCCATTGGTCAAACATTTTATTTTTAGAGGTTTCTATGTTCCCTCAAAAGAATTTCATATTTCTACATTTTGTAATCTTGGATTCTGTGTCAAAATTCATTCAATAGTCCAATAATGCTGCCAACCCAGCTGCTATGACTCATGCTGATTAAAAATTGGTTGTGTTTGCTAGGTCTATGCTTTACAAACTGAAGCCTTGCTGAAGCTCCTAAGATATCAAGAGGCATATACCATCTACGAGAAAATGCCAAAATTTTCACTTGATTGGTGTAACAAGATATTTGGCCTGGATCGGAGTGCTTACCTGTATATGATAGGCGCACAGGTTTACTTAGCAGCCGGCAGGTTGGTGAAAATGCTTTGTTTTGATGTGTTTGACAAATTCTTCAATCATGATTTGTGTATGTTATCATCCTCAGGTTGTTGTTGCTTTCTTTATATTCAATGATCAATGATGATGTGTCTTACGGAAAATTTCTTCAGTACTCTAGTAGTACTACTCAAGATTTAGTGCATCACCTACTAAAATTAGAAAAAAGCATCCACCTAACTAGATTTATTTTACCAACTCCTTTGTGGTTAACATCTCATGGATCTGACTCACTTTTACTTTCAATAATGGAGTATGTACTACCAGAGTATTGAAAATTTACTTTATTTTCTGAGCCTAGTTAGGAATGAATCCAAAGTTGCATTGAACTTTGTTGGTAAACAGATTTGAGGATGCTGTGACAGCAGCTCAGCAAGCAGCTAAAGTTGATCCAAGCAATAGAGAGGTGAATGCAGTGGTAAGAAGGGCAAGAGCAGCGACATCAGCTAGAATGAGTGGAAACTTGTTCTTCAAGGGATCAAAATTCATGGAAGCATGTGCAGCATACAATGAAGGACTAGAGCATGATCCACACAACTCAGTTCTGCTATGCAACAGAGCAGCATGTCGTTCTAAGCTAGGCCAATATGAAAAAGCAATTGAAGACTGTAATGAAGCACTTATAGTTCAGCCATGTTACAGCAAAGCAAGGTTAAGAAGGGCAGATTGCAATGCGAAGGTACTTTAGTTGATCCATTATTATTAAGTTCTTCTGGTACATGCTTGTTTGCAGTTAATAACCCTTTCGTTATTTCTCTTTTTGTGCATGTAGATGGAAAGATGGGAATCTGCCATTCAAGACTACGAAATGCTAATAAGAGAAAAGCCAGGGGATGAGGAAGTGGCTAGGGCTTTGTTTGAGGCCCAGCTCCAACTCAAGATGCTACGTGGTGAAGATATTAAGGACTTGAAATTTGGTTCAAATTTGGTTTTCATCTCAAGTAATGATCGATTCAGACATTATGTAACCTCACCTGGTAAGGCACATTTGGTTGCTTCTCTTATACAATTACATATGAGCATTACAAATACACTAACCAGTTGTGAGGGTTATTGAATAGGGATGGCTGTGGTGCTCTTTAGCAGCAAGGCAACGCATAAGCAAGTGTTGCTGGTTTTGGAGCAAACCAGCAAGAGATTCCCATCAGTTAATTTCCTTAAGGTTGGTTTATTTTTATTGGTTTAGGCTTTACAGACTATGGGAATGTAAATTTAAAAGTAGGAACATGGAATCTTGTACTCTAACGAACAGTTAGGATGGTATGAACATTGGACAAGCATGTGACATAAAAATGTAGCATTTCTATGCAGGAATAGGAAAAAACAACAACAATAATAATATACTTAACAAAGGAGGGGTTAAATTGACAAACTTTTTTTCTTACAAACTTACAAACTACACTAAGTCTGACCCGGTCAAACTTCAATCAAGAGTGTATGACTAATCAAACTTAGTGTATGACAACTTTCGTTGATATATTTCTTTAAATTGTTTCTGTATCTTTTACATTGTTTCTAACTTATAACTGAATTACAATTTTTTTAGGTGGAGATTGAAGACCACCCATACTTGGCAAAATCAGAAGGAGTGACCTCTATTCCAGCCTTTAAAATATACAAGAACGGATCAAGGGTTAAAGAAATTTCAGGCAACAACCACGAGTTGTTAGAAAGATCAGTTAAATTGTACAGCAGCTGAGATAATTGCACTTCTTCAAATCAGAATATACATTGTGCAGGAAACGAAGAAAAATGTTAAATTTTTCAGAATGGATGGGAAGAGGTCCAAAATAATTCAAGCTAATTGTTTCTCCTTCATAAATTTGCTGACCTTGCTCATAAGGCAGAGGAAAACCAAAAGAAAGCATATTATCACTGTAGCACGTAGAAAAGTTTATATAAAAAATGAATTCTTTATGTTGGCAAAATATTCATTTAATCCTTTGGATGTTTGAGCAGCCTTTGATTTTTCACATCCCATATTCCATGCATATTGGTTTGACAAACCTAAACAACTATCACTATGTTGTAATGTGGTAGAAGGAACACAACGGTGTATATTGGAGAAACCTTGTGGAAAATCAGTGAACTTTCTGCCTTGCCCTCGTGGGTAGTGGTGCACTAAGAAGCACAGACACCTAGGGGTAGAGAGGTGGCAAAGTTGGCGGCCCGCTACGCCCCGCCCCACCCCGCCGTCAACCCGCCAAGAAATGAGTCAGCCCGCCTCGACCCGCTTTTGGAAGTGGGCTGAAAAACTCAGCCCGCCCCGCCCCGTTGGGCGGGTTGGCCCGTCAGCCCGAGCTTATTTTACACACTCGCCTCGGCCCGCCTATGCCCGCCATCAACCCGCCAAAAAATGAGCCCCGCCTCGCTTTTGAGATGGGTTGAAAAACTCAGCCCGCCCTGCCCCGTTTGGCGGGTTGGGCAGGTTGACCCGCCGAGCCGAGCCCGTTTTTCCAGCTCTACCTAATGGTGTAAATGGGTTAGGCCGGCCTACAGGGGCCTATGGCTTAGCCTATATTAGGCCAGACTTGGCCTGTTACAAATAGTAAAATAGAACAGGCCTAGACTTTAAAAAAAATCTATTTAGAAAACAAGCCATAGGCTTTTTTTGTACATGTCGGGCGTATAAGCCTATAGGCTGGCCTATATCGTATTATTTATTGTAAATAAAATAAAATAAATTATTATTTTAAATTTTTTTAATAATAAAATAGTATTATTTTAGTTATTCTTTTAATTGTTGAATGTTTAATAGGCTTAAACAGGCTAGCAGGGCTAGGCCAAGGCTTTTATTTTTTAAATATAGGTCAAACTAAATTTGTAATTTGGGGCCTACACAGGCTAGCAGACCAGGCTAGACACAATGTTTTTTATATAGGCTTAGACTATTTAAGTCTAAGCCTAGCCTAGCCCAGCCTATTTACACAACACCCATTCAATAATTTTCGACACGTGATCAATATTTCAACACGCGTCCGATATATGATTAATATTTTTCGACAAGTTATCAATGTTCATATAGATCCAAATTTTATTTTATTTTATTTTTTTAACTAAACATGAAAAATCAATTTATAAATCAAATATTTTTTTTATCGAATTTGACAAGAAAATTTAACAAAGCATGGAAAATTATTTTTGCATTTATGTTATGAAATTTGAATATTTAATTGGTTATATAACTTATCATGGGCTGCTATATGTATGAAATATAAACTATATTATATATATTAAAATTTTTATTTAATATCAAAATGTGTCTTAATGTGTCAAAATCTAATATTTTTAAAATTAACTTGTCGGAGTGTCGTGTCGGAGCAACATATGTGGTGCAAGAGAGTTTCTGTCGTTGATGCCTTTCTTTTCTTTTCATTTTAAGGGATTAATATTTCTTATGTTACAGGAGATAATTTTATCTCTTACACACATATGAAAGTGTGTGAAGCCCATTTATTTCTTTTCTTTTCTTTACATGGCCCCATATGGGTCAACATATTTTCATATGTGTATAAGAGATAAAATTATCTTCTACAACATGAGAAACATTAATTCCTCCTTTATTTTAGTACATTAATCCCTCCTTTTAAACATACCAAACAAAGAAATTAGTACCGTCCATTGTACTATTATAATAAGAATAAATTTTATTTTGTTAAAAGATGTTTAAATGACACGATTTTTTTCTAAAAAAAAATAATTTTACTCTCTGATCAGACCAAATACAATATGGACTGGTCAAAGTATATTGGGCCTAATCACACACGGTTGATGTGGAGAGGATGGTCTTCTTCTTGGGCTTTGAGTGATTGATGAGGATCAATATATTCTTGTCCTTTGTTGGCGTGATGAGACTGGATGGGGTACCTGCGAAGACACTCTGATGCTTAAGTTAGTATCAATTGCAGGTGTATGTCTTAATGAATTAGATAGATGTACCTGGGTGTGTACCCTCTGTTTATATAGTAGTTTTGATGCCGCCTTCATAAGGCGGTTTGGCCTCTGATTGGCCATGTTTGGGCTGCAGGTTAGGCTAGAACCTGAATAGCCTTATCTTCTTAATGTTGAGCTATCCTGATAGAGTTGCGGTGAACTGATGCTGTCCTTTGTTTATTAGCTCAAAGGCGCGGTGAGTTTGCCCTGGTTCTTAAGTTAGCTTCCTTATCTCTGGAGCTTATGCCAAAGAGCAGTCTTGTGAGCGATGGGGGCATCGCGTCATGCCGCGATGATGCCCATCACTCTTAGTTTCGGGTCCTTCAAGAAATTGGGCTTCTTTATATGTCTTTGGACCTTTAATGGGCCAACTGTATTTTATCCAGATCACTCTCCTTTCTTAAAAAATTAATATGTTATACTTTAACTTATTTTAATGTGAATAAAGCTCTTAAAAATTTTCAAAGCTAGGTTTAACTCATATTATTAATTTAAAAAAAATAAAATGAAAATTATAAGTGAAGTCTCATACTTATAGTTTGCTAAGACTTAAGAGGTTCATTTGTATTAAAATAATTAAAATAAACAAAATCAAAAACGAAAAAATTGAACATTTTTCATAAAAGAGTGTAAAGCGCTAATTGATGGACTTTTTTTTCCCCAATAAAACGCCAGATTCAAGCATGTGAGCCTGACAATTGGAAAGACATATTTAAGAAACCACTATTCAGCGCAGCCCAAGCCCATCGAAATAGAGGACGAGAAACATTATCAATGGGCCTCACTACCTCAAGAATTAAAGAACATTACATCAGCGAAAGAAAAGGGGGCCACCCACATTAGCATCGTTAACCGTTCGTCTGGGCCTGGCTCAAACTATTTAAGAGTTTTTATTATAAGATGGAGATTTACAATCTCATCTAGTTATCGAATCAACAAAATTAACCGAAAAAGTGTCGATGTTTGGATAATTGAAACTTGAAAGTCTCAATAAGATTGTTCTTACCAATTTTATTTTTTGGATAGACACATGAGGAGCAACATTGAGCAAAGGAATAGAAGTGATCACCGCAAGAATTAGGATCGCACTGCAGCGTTGACCCATTGAAGATTGTTTTGAACCTGTGCCATATTCACATTTAGCGCAGTGTATTCTACATCCGCTGTCAAGAGTTCAAATTCTGATGTCGCCCTTCTCTTTAGCTTTATACTTGTCATATTCGTTTATTTTTTTCTTTTATATATCTCGAATTCATTATTAACTTTTAATAAAGTTCTTTTATGCTGTTCGTGTGTACTGATTGGTGTGAAATTTTCATGAATTAAATTTAATTGAAATACTTACTTTCTAAATCTTGAGAAATTGAGAGCGTATCTTATAGGATTTTATCAATCTTCGTCTATTGCTTTTAATTGAAAATTAATTGTCTTGTTAGTTTTGATATGTTAATATTATTTCATGAATATTATAATTTCTTGAAGCTATAAATTACTCTTTTTCATCATGTTTTAAATTTAGTGAAAATTTGGTTCTTAGAGTTTTTATTTTCCGAGTTAGGTGCTTGTTTATTTTTTATCGGTTATGAATGAAGGTTTTGTTTTTTCAATAGTGTTGAAGCCAGGAAATAATTTTAATCCGTGCCAAAAAAGTTAACATATAAAATTATTAAAATATTTATTATAATTATATAAATTTATTAGGAAAAAAATTTACAATAAATTCTAGCATGCTTATCTAAATTATTTACTAAATAATATCACATAACATTAAAACTTCAAATAAACAATTGTCAATGATTATACATTAAAGCAAATATATAAAAAGCACTAACCTTTCCGGCAGTGTTTTAAAACCTCACCCCGTCTCCCGGGTTGACCCGGGTCAACCCTGACCCCTCCCTTTTGAGGGTTGGGGTCACAAGTTGGACCCTATACGCACATCGACCCCTCCGACCCCCAAAACCCGGCCGGGTTTCAATGACTCCTGAGTCAGAGAGGTCAAAGGGGGTCACTGCATGTTTTTTTTTTAAAAATTCCATTAAACAACTTCGTTTTATTAAAAAAACAAAATAAAAATGTTTGCAAACCTAAATCTAATCGTTATCTTCTCTCCCAGCGACTTATATGTCTCCAATCTTCACCTCGCAGACGTGAATCTTCTAGAAAAGGTAAGAATTTTATCTATTCAAATGAAATCATTACGGTCGTCGATGGAAAACAAAAACTCATTCTTACTTCCTTTAAATTTTCCTTTGTCAGTGACCTTCTCCAAAGAGGCAGAACTGGGTCAGCGTATTAATCCCATTAGAATATGAGTTTTGTACTTTGATATCTTGATACTTTAATTAGGTTGTGTAATATTGACTTGTGGTTTTAATTATGTATATTTTGAATCTTTGATGATTGGTGGTTTATTTTTTAATATTTTTATATATGATATATATATTTATATTTTTTTAATATATAAAACCGGGTCAGCATAGTGACTCCGTGACCCCCCGGTTGAACCCGTGACTCCATGACCCATGACCTCGGCCGGGTCAATGGCCGGGCCGGGTTTTTAAACACTACTTTTCGGTAAACATTTCAGACAGAATAATTTCATTTTTCTCTCACGGCATAATAAGTAATGAACCAAGCATTGTTCTAAGGATATGAATACACACAAATATAATAATTATATGCATAATAACATTTAATAAATAATTTAAAATATAATAAAAAACTTACATACCTAAAATTGTAAGCGACGCTCTTTTCAATTGATGAAATCTTCAAGGACATAATTTGTAGTAAAAGTTTTAACAATCTCTCTTTCAATATACACAACCAAATTATTTGCAGGAAAGTCATCCTCCATTTTGTTTCAAAGCCTTGTTTTTACAATTTTCATTTCTGAGAATGCGCGTTCACTACTTGCGATTGAAAATGGTAGGGTTAAGATAAGACGAATTAGCCTATCAACCAAATGATAGGAATTTGACTATCCTGTCTTAACTAATACTTGACACAACTCAGAAATTAAAGATAAGTTTTGAAGTTTTGGATGTTTTGGGACGTACATCCTTTTGGAAATGCTTCAATTGACAATTCAAATTAATTCTTTCTTTCTCAGAAAAATCAATATGATAGTATTTCTCTGTAAGGCTATAAATATCATCAACATTAAATGCTTTATAACCATTCTTCGGACCTAATGAAGAGCTAAGTGATAAAAGTTTCATTGTTTGCTCATTAAACCTTCTATTTAACTCTTGTATTTGAAAGTCAAAGGTTGAATTAAAGACATCAAATGATAGTGATGGTCAATAGTTATTTGATCATATTGTCGACGGTCACGACCTTCAATATATTGAGCATCAAAATTTGGAACATCTATTTCATGAAGCTTGGAGAACTTAACAACACTTTGAAGTATTCTTTTCTAACCATCTTCCTGTAATTCTTGAATAAGTTACTTTGTACTTGAAACTAATTGTATAGCATTCAAAATATTTTGAGATTTCTGTTGTAATGCTTGACAAAGAATTTCAGTGATGCCATGATCTCCTTCATTAAAAGTAAATTAAAGATAAACTCAAAAGAAATGATCATCTTATAAGCTGCAGTAACATCTCATATTTAAGAGTAATTTGATCCTTCACTATGAATTATTTTCAAGTACTGTACACGATTCATTATACCCTCGTTGAAGACTGCATATAAAATAAAAATGAGAATATCATCTAATATCACTAGCCTTCTTTAGTGTACCTACCATAGTAGTTAATTGCGCCGCAATAGTGCCGCGAGCCGTGCCGTATGGGCGTTGCGGTGCCTCGCCACAAGAAATAGCGTCGTGCCGCACCAGAACGCAATAGCAGCCATTGCGATCACATTTGCGGCCATATTGCTGTCGTAAGGCAAAATGTTAATTTTGTCCTAAATTTAAATGTGTGACAAAACAAATTTAAGGGTTTTTTTAGTCTATTTGCATTTTTCTCTGTCACTTCTGCTATCTTTGCCTTTAAAAAATATTTCTTTTTGTCATTATTTCTGTCATATATCTATTCCACTATTTTCGCAACCGCAACCCGCTATAACGCTATTGCGTTTATCGGGGTTGGCCGCGACATGCCGCAATCCGCATTTGATAACTATGGTACCTACTTGGTTAGGACCCGTACCACTTTTAAGCTCACCAATAGCCTACAAAAGTTTAAATTCAAAAATTTGGGCAATTTGGAATTGATCATGACTCTAGGAAGAAACAATGATAATATTAATGATGAAATTCACATTCTGAAAGAATTAATAAATAGAAGAAACTTTCTTAGAGGCAGCAATCAAGGCTAAATGTAATTGATGAGCAAAACAATGCACATAATAAGCACAAGGGCATTCATTAAAAAATAATGCTTACAATCCATTTCATTTACCACGCATGCTAGTAGCACCATCATATCAATACATTTATGTCAAATGGATTGGGGGAGCAAATAGATTTAGGGATAAGTTATTCTGCCTACTCTAATTTTGCCTACCTTTGCCTACCCCTTTCATTACCGTAATCATTACCGTTCGATTACGATTTAATCCAACGGTTCATATTTGCGAAATAAAATAAATCTTTTTTCTCTTTTTTTTTCTCCTCACTTCCTCCCAACCCTTTCTCTCTCCTCCCTTTTCTCTCTTCCTCTAGGTCATTGTTTGCAAACGTATTCGAGTTTAATTGACACTTGAATAAAAAATTAAACGAAAATGAAAAGGGGTTATAATCTTTTTATCGAAGAAGAGGTGTACCGATCTTAGTAATTTGCAGATCATTAATTTTTTTGAAAAAACTATAAAACTATAGATAGTTAATGAGTGATATAAGAGAGATTAGTATGAACCTGTGTATACGATTTCAGTGAAAAACAAATGACTCTCCTCATGTTTGCTGTTGATTCATGTTTATAATTATCCTGCATATAAATAAGTGTACGACATCTGGTTTTGTTTTTTATTTTTAACACACATGTCAATTTTATGATTAGATGCGGGATTTTTTAAACAATAAGAAAATAATTATGAAAATAACTTGATTCTTAATATTTTGTTTCTCTGTAATATCTCTCACAGCTTTGTGCAACACACAAGTGTCATTCATTTATTTAAAAATATTGAACAATGTACAAGTATCAACTCTCTACAACGTGACCTAGAGGAAGGGAGAAAGGGGAGGAGAGAGAACGAGGAGAAAGAAAAGGGAAAAGAGTTTATTTTATTTCGCAAATATGAACCGTTGGATTAAATCGTAATCGAACGATAATGAAAGGGGTAGGCAAAGGTAGGCAAAATGAGAGTAGACAGAATAACCTATCCCATAGATTTATAGGTCAATTATCAAATTAAATTTTAAATTGTCATAACTAAGACAAGTAGACAACTCAATTATCAAATTTATACAGCTCAAGATAAGTATAAATAAATATAAATGAGTATCTCATTTTGTAGAAGTGCTATTGAGAAATTTGTGATAAATAACTAAGTCATAACTCATAAGTGCAATATGAAAAAAAAAAACCTAATGGAGCTATGACCTGTGAAGAATATCAGCGCAGAGGGGCATAGTAGACTTCATAATTAAAAAGAAAAATTTAGCCCCAAATCTCCATCCCTCTCATCAATCCCATTTCTCTCAGTGATCTCTCATTCTTTCTCTCTGATCTGGACTTGATCCCACAACTGCTTATGGTCTTGACCTCTGTTTAATGGTGAGTGCTCGATGGGAAAGTTGAAAAGGGATTGAAATAAAACAAAAGAAAAGATGGGAATGAATCGTGTGAAAAAAGATGTGGGTATAAAAAAAAGAATAAAAAAGGTTTTAAAAAGTAAATATGACAAATAAGTGGTTAAAAAAAAGACGGAAAAGAGAAAAAAATTGAAGACAAAAATATTATAATTTTGTTATATTTAAACATAAATATAGTTATATTTATTTAGATAGTGCCAAATTTTAATTTTAGCACCGGATAAATTACAATTAATTATATAATTATATATAATAGTAATTTTTTTTTTGAAAAAAAGTCCATGCTAAGGCCTTAGCCGGTCTAAACGTGGCTACGCCACTTTTGCTTAGGACATGCAAAAATCATATATAGGAGAATTTGATAAGCAATATTTTCATATATTAATTATATCCCTTCTTTACCAAAAACGCATGAATTAGGGATGGATTTTAGAAATGGAAAATATTTCGTCCCTAATTTGGTCAGATTTAGAGAAGAAAAAGACAATTCGTCCGTATTTGAAATGAAATTAGCGATGAAATAAATTTTATCTACAATAGGGACGAATTTTGAGAAAGAAAAATGTTTCGTCCCTATTTTAAACAGATTTGGGGATAGAATCTTTTCAATTTCTACAATCTATTCCTAATTCCATTCCTAATAGGGACAAAATATTATCTGTCCCAACTTGGGTTAGAATTAAGGATGGGATATTTATTGTTTTTAAAATTCGTCATGAATAAGGATAAAAATAATCTGTCCCTAATTGGAACAGATTAAGGGACTAAATTTTGTATTTAAATGTTATTGTTTATGAAATTGCAAAAATATGAATTTTTTGCTAGATTACTTAGATTTGATGTTTGTGTTAAAAAAAGTAACATTCTGTGATTTATAAGACTAAAATCTCAATCACTCGCTAATAGGGGAGTGATTGACTAAAATCATAATTTATCATATTTTATAAGACAAAAATCATAATAATTAATTCTCTAATCAAGCTTAAAGCATCAAAGCTTTGAGTTAATGGTAAAAATCATACTAGAGTACAAGTCAACAATGGAGATGAAAGAAAAATCAAGAGTGGAAGAAGAGCGTTTCAAAAAATATAAATCCTATTGAGAGAAAGAATGAAGGACGGAGAAAGCAAAGAATTCTCCACAGAAGAGGCTGATCTTCTTGAGAGGAGTATTCGTAGATCTAAAGAACAAGAAGGAAGGAGTGTTGTTTCTTATAAAGATTCTCTGTTACATTTAAATGGAGGGTCAAGTGAAGAGAAGGAGACAGAGGTTCTTGAGAACCTAGGATTTGAGGAGGATGAAGAATCACAGTTCATGGAAGAGTGCAACCAATCTGTTGATGATCCCTTCTGCCCCTCATATCGTTTTGAAAAGGAGATTCACAAAGAAAGCTGCAAACCTTGGAGGATGGCAGTTATTGTGAAACTTTTAGGAAAGCGTGTGGGGGTGAAGTTTTTTCAAAATAGGTTGTTGAAGATGTGGAATTTAAGCGGCTCTTATGAGTTCATTGATATGGAGAATGATTATTTTTTATTTCGGTTTGACAAGATTGAGGACTACAATTTTGTTTTGCAAGAGGGTCCTTGGATTGTAGCTGATCATTATGTAATGGTTCAACGTTGGCGTCCCTTCTTTAACCCTCATGATGATGATTTCAAGAAGCTGGCTGTATGGCTACGTATTCCAGGTCTCCCAATTGAATTCTATACGTCTAAGCACCTATGTAACATAGGTAATCTTTTCGGGAGAACACTCAAGATTGATAGGAATTCAATTCGGAAAGATATCATAGGAGATAAGGAGTTCACAGATCGAGCAAAATTTGCCCGTATTTGTGTGGAAGTTGATCTTCGAAAAGGATTCCTGTCTAAATTCAAAATAGGCAACCGTGTTTTTCCAGTGGGCTATGAAGGTTTGCACCTTGTTTGCTTTGCTTGTGGTAGGTATGGTCACCGCCGTGATTCATGTCCTACCCTTGCTCCTGCTTCGACTAGTACTATTAATCAGAGTACTCAGATTCATACAACAATGGCAAACACCACAGTTCAGCATAAAGTGGCGATGGAAGGGGAGGCTTTTGGTTCTTGGATGCTTGTCCAGCGTAACTAGCGAGGAAGAAAGAAGGTCGTGAATTCAGCTATGGATGCTGCAATCAAGGAGAAGGCTCATGAAGTGCATTCAATTTCGAGCAAAAAATCCGCACCTGGTGTAATTGCCAATAATGGGGGGGAAAAATCTGGTGCTGTCATGCAAGTTAATGCCAATGTAGGAGGAGTGAATACAGGTGCTGTTAAGAGGGAGATTTTATAAAAAAAAAACGGTCCCTAATTATGGCCAGCCAATTGGCTCACGTTTCGCAATCATTGCTGACGTTAACAAAGTTTCAAAAGATGATAACGTTGCAAGGATGTCTAATCATCAGGATTTTAATGCAATTAATTTGCAAAAATCAAGCAACATTCCTGATTTGAATCAGTTAACCATCATGGATACGTCAGCGCAAAATATTCCTCAGCCAGCTAAGCATATGGGTGATCTAATTAATAGTCTGACTAAGCCTTCGATTGGGGCCCAGGAAAAAAAGAACCAAGAAGATCAACTCCTGCAGAATGGGAGCGTGAAAGTTTCTAGAAAAAATAAACAACAGATACCGAAGAAGACTGGGGCGGTGAAGGAATCTTTTGTTCTAAAGAAAAAACAAACAGGTCTTGCAGTATCTTCTAAGTCTTTCAAGCTTCCCTCTAAACCTCAATCTTTATCGAGGGAATCTAAGGAGAGAATTTTTTTGAGTTTGACTAAAGGTGATACAAACATGTTTCTCAATGATATAGCTCGTAACGTGAATCCTTCTCCAAGCTCGAATCTGGCTCTTAGTTCCATTTCCGGGAAACAGGAGAATGGTCAGCTTCTTGAGAGGGGCCAGCAAAATGGAAAAATCTTAATACCGGACAAAGAGTTTAAGGAGACTAATGAACCCCCTGATGCTTTGGTTAAATCGGTGTTAGGCAATCAGGCTCACAACAATTTGGTGGATTCGGATGGTGCTTCCATTTCGGGAGATTTAAGTGTGCAAACTGTTCCTCAATGATTGGTGTTCATACCATTCTTTCTTCTTCTCTGTATTTATTTTTTATGAATATTGTTTCATGGAATTGTAGAGGGGCTGGAAAAAAGGGCTTTTCCCCCTAATAAAAGACCTCACAAGAAGATATCGTATTTGTATCTTAGTGCTTTTGGAAACCCGTATTGGTGGACTGCGTGCAAAGCAGGTGGCTAAAAGCCTAGGGTTCTCAAATTTTTTTATTTCTGACCCGATTGGTTTTTCAGGAGGCATATGGATTCTTTGGAATTCATCAGAAGTGAATATCCAAGTTCTGCATACTGATCATCAATTTATTCATTCAAAGATAAGCTGGCTTAATTATCATAAGCATGAATTTTTCACCTTTGTTTATGCTAGTCCTCGGCGTCAAGAGCGTCATGCTCTATGGGATGCTTTGGAGAATATTCAGCCGCAAAATAATAATGAATGGTGCATTATGAGTGATTTTAATACTTACATTCACTCGGAGGAGAAGAGGGGGAGTTCAGTTCACAATTGGAGGAGCATGCAGGATTTTCAAGATTGTCTTATGTCTTGTCATCTTAGTGATCTGGGGCACCAAGGTCCGAGTTTTACTTGGAGAAGAGGTAATCTTTTGGAGAGACTTGATCGTGCTTGTGTAAATCAAAGCTGGAACATGTCATTTCCTAACAGAGTTATCTCTCACCTTCCTTTTTATAACTCTGATCATCGTCCAATCCTTCTTTGGGATGGACAACCAAATTTTAGTAATGGAGGGGCTCGTCCTTTTCGTTTTCTAGCGGCTTGGTTGACTCATAATTCTTTCTCTGATCTAGTGAAGAGGTGCTGGGCAGGTGGTCACAATTGGAAAGCATCCAGTGAAAACTTTCGAGAGAAAGCCACATCCTGGCATAAGGATTGTTACAAGGAGGAGGAGAAGTTAAAAAATAATCTTCATTCTCGCCTCCGTGGAATTGATTATAGCTTAAGTCAACATCCTTGTCATTCTCTGGAGAGGCTGCAGAAAGAGATCTGGCAACAGTTAAATACTATTTATCTTAGAGAAGAGATTACATGGTACCAAAGATCTAGAACTGACTGGATTCGGTTTGGTGACCGTAATACTAAATTCTTCCATTCAGCAACAGTTTCCAGGCGTAGGAGGAATAGGATTGATGCCCTTCAAAATGATGTCGGGGATTGGATTGCTGACCCTTCTCTTCTCATGAGTATGGCAGTGGAATACTATGATAATTTATATAAGGAAGATATTCCTCTCCGGCCTAATTTTCCCATTAGGAACAAATTCCCAGAAATGGAAAGGAGAGTTATGATGGCTCTTGAGAGCTGCCCTAGTAGTCAAGAGATTAAAGGAGTAGTGTTCTCAATGGGGCCTTTTAAAGCGCCTGGTGTTGATGGTCTTCATAGCATATTTTTTCAAAGCCAATGGGATGTAGTGGAGAGCTCTGTTTGTAATTTCATTAAGGGAGTCTTCAATGATCCTAGTCGTATAGAAGAAGTGAATCAGACTCTTCTTTGCTTGATTCCTAAACTTGAGAATCCTCATACTTTCAAGGATTTTCGTCCGATTAGCTTGTGTAATGTTATTTATAAAACGGTAACAAAAATTGTTGCTAACCGTTTAAAATTGCAGATGGACAAGCTGGTGATGCCTAATCAGTGCAGTTTTATCAGAGGTAGACAAGGTACGGATAATGTCATAATTGCTCAAGAGCTAATCCATTCAATGAGGAAAAAGAGAGGATCTAAAGGTTGGATGGCGATCAAGGTTGATCTTGAGAAAGCATACGATAGGATCAGTTGGAATTTCCTTCAGGATACCCTATATGATGTAGGGCTTCCTGAAAATTTGATAAGACTAATTATGTTGTGTGTTTCATCTTGCACTATGAATGTTCTTTGGAATGGGGCTTGTACTAAAGAATTTCGGCCAACTAGAGGCTTAAGACAAGGAGATCCTCTTTCTCCTTATCTTTTTGTCCTCTGCATGGAAAGACTAGCCCATCTCATTTCTCAGGCAGTGGATCACATGAGGTGGAAGCCAGTGAGGATTAAAAGGGGAGCTCCACAAATTTCCCACTTATTTTTTGCTGACGATCTCCTTTTGTTTGCAGAAGCTTCTCAGGAGCAAGTGTTAATAATTCAACAGGCCTTACATATATTTTGTGATTCATCTGGTCAAAAAGTCAATCATAGTAAGACTAGAGTTTTCTTTTCTCAGAATGTGGGTCATACTCAAGCAAAACATCTTAGTGGGCTTCTTGGTTTTTCTTTGACTGCGGATCTTGGAAGATACTTGGGAATTCCTTTGCATCATAAGCGAGTGGGTCGGTCATCTTTCTTTTATGTTTTGGATCGAATGAGTTCTAGAATTGCTGCTTGGAATCATGCCAGTCTATCTCTAGCAGGTCGTGTTACATTATCTAAAGCAGTGTTATTAGCAATCCCATCATATCCAATGCAGGTGTGTTCATTACCGCAAGTCACCTGTGAAGAGATTGATAGGAAGATTCAAAATTTTGTTTGGGGTTCATCTCCACACTCTAGACGTTCTCATCTTGTGGCCTGGAAGCAGATTTGCATGGATAAAAAAAATGGAGGCCTTGGACTGCGGAGTATGAGGGAAATGAACTCAGCATTTATCATGAAGGTTGGGTTCAACCTCGTAGCTCATCCAGATGCCTTGTGGTCAAAGTTCTTACGTGCTAAGTACAATGTGGAGGCAGGCATGACACCAATTATTCATGCTCCAAACAGCAGCTCCCAGCTTTGGAAGGGAATTACGCGTCATTGGAATATTATAATGGATCATAGTCGGGTGCAGTTAGGCAATGGTCAGTCCACTATGTTCTGGCTTGATAGCTGGCTGCCCGATTGTGGTCCTTTGATCTCATATGCAGGTTCTCAGTTTTCTATTAGTGATACTCTTCAGAAGGTGGTGGACTACGTGGATGAATTGGGGCAATGGAAATGGAATTCTCTTCGACAATTGCTTCCAGATTCTGTGCTGCATCGATTTATGAATTTTCTTCCTCCTTCTAGTCAAGATGGCCAGGATCATTTAATTTGGAATGGAACGACAGATGGCAAGTTTACTGTTAAGTCAGCATATGCAATATTAGCCATCAAAGATACTACAATCCAACAGTTTCCTTGGGAAAGTGTTTGGAGATGGCAGGGGCCAGAAAGAATTCGCTTTTTTCTTTGGTTAATGGCAGGGGAGAAGCTGATGACTAATGTTTGTAGACTCCGCCGTCATATGGCTCTTTCAGATCTGTGTCCTAGATGTAATCAGTCTAGTGAAACTATCTTTCATACTATTCGCGACTGTCCACAATCAAAGGAAGTATGGTGCATGATAATGCCTCATATAAATCAGCGTGAATTTTTCAACCTCAACCTGCACAATTGGATCATTTCTAATTTAGACAGCTCAAAGGATTGGGGGATGGGGTCGGACTGGCCTCTTTTATTTGGAATCTTAGCCTGGAAAATTTGGAAATGTAGGAATTCTTGGGTTTTTGAAGGTGATCGCCAGAATGCTTATTCACTTATCCGTTCAGCAATTGGTTTCAGAGATAGTGTCGCTCTTGCAGCTAACCCTGTTTTTGGAGCGGGCAATCAACCAAGGAATCGAATAGAGAGATTGGTTGCTTGGTGTTGTCCTCCTGTGGATTGGGTTAAGCTTAATGTTGATGGTGCATGTGATGCTAATGGTACTAGGACTGGGTGTGGAGGAGTTTTTCGCGATGCCTCAGGAACTTGGATCGTCGGATTCTGTAAAAATTTAGGCTCAGGTACAGTTTTGCATGCTGAGTTATGGGCTTGCTTGGTTGGTTTGGAGCTAGCTTGGGGTAGAGGTTTTAGGCAAGTTTGGCTCGAAGGAGATTCTCTTTCAGCTCAACAGCTCATTACAAATGGGTGCCACCATGATTACCCTGCGGCTAATTTGGTGAATCGTATTCGAAATTTGATGCAGCGAGATTGGCAGATTTATATGTCTCACATTCACCGTGAAGGAAAT